GGCTCCCGCCCCATCGCGCGTCACCGGAAGTGAGGCGGCGGAAGTAGTAAAACCCGCTCGGAGCTCGGCGCGCCGGGCCCCGTGGGCTGGCTGGTGGCATGGCGGACGAGGAGGAGGACCCCACTGTGAGTGCCCACCTCTGTTTCAGCCCGCTCGTTTCTTCACTCCCTCGGGTGCAGTAGCGGAGGCCGAGTTCGAAGTCGGGTCTGTTTTCCTGAGTGAATTCAGCCGGGCCAGTCGGGGACTGGACGCCGTGCCCGCCTTTTCCTTCGAATCCTCTTTTTCACTACGTGGGGCAGGACGTGAAGGGAGAGGGGGCAGGCGGCCCCTCGCCCTGTGCGTGTGGTCCGCATCTGCCTACGGATAGGCGTTTGTAAGGTCGCAGCGCATGTTTGTTAGCGCTCGCTGTGAACCGGCAGTTGAGCTGCTGACGAAACTGTATATACTTACTGTCAAGTACGGACCGAGAGTCGGGACTTGGGTTTCAAGATGTCTGTTCTCTGTGAGCAAGTTATTTAACTCTGATCCTCGGTTTTCGTGTCGTAAAATGGGGTTGAGGCTGACTTGAGAGCTCCGAGCACTGTGTGAGCCCCACTTAGTATTTGTTTTTCTTCCTTTGATTCAGTACCAACTCTTGTAATAAATAGTAAAACTGTCTAGCAATAGGGCAATTTAGTTGGTTGAAAGAGAAAAAAAAAAAAAGTATGGCCATTAGGACTCTTCCAGAAAGGCAGTTGGACTCTCTGTTGGGGGCATTATTGTAGAAGCCATTCCAGCGGGAGCCGGAGGTTGGACTGAAATGCTATGGTTTCGTGAGTTTTTGCTGCAGTTTGCTTTAGGCTTTCTGGCGTGATATCAGCGTTGAAAATTGGGGCGGGGGGGGTGTTAATTATTAAAAAGTCAAATGCAATGCAGTTACTTGACATTTCTGATTATACGGTTTAACTTCTAGTTTGAGGAAGAAAATGAAGAAATTGGAGGAGGTGCAGAAGGTGGGCAGGGTAAAAGAAAGAGACTTTTTTCTAAAGAGTGTAAGTAATATTTACAATGATTTTATTATAGATGATAAGCTTGGGACATGTGCATTCAAAGTATATTTATTGTTCTGAATGTGTTTCCCTGTAGGGATGCTATTTTGAGACTTGCCTATAAAATTAACTTGTGAATCATAACTAGTAATGAGCCTAACCAAAACTTATTTGTGTATGTATATACACGTACATATATATACATACACACACTTTTTTTTAGTTTATTTAGTTTAGACTAGTTTATTGATTTTTAGAGAGAGAGGAAGAGAGAGAGAGAAACATCGATGTGAGAGTGGAACCTTTTTTCTGCCAAGGGCCATTTGGATATTCATCGGCCATACAAAATTATCAACTTAAAAATTAGCTATGAAAAAAGCTCCTAGATTTATTGAATTTCGAGTCCCACCTGCTGTTGCCTTGGCAGGGCCAGACTAAATGATTTCCAGGGCCATAGACATTCCCCACCCCTATCTAGGGAATGAAATATCAAGATTCTGGATAGTAATCCCTTTGCTATCTCCTTTTGATTACCACATTCCTGTAAGAAGGTAATTGGAACACTCACTTTCTTTTCCCTGTGGTCATATCAGAAAGGATTTTGCCTTCTATTTTCCAGTGCCCTACTGACACCCTCATCTCCCCAGTAAAGGCTAAGTCATTGCCACTCATCCTGTCCCTGCCCATTTAAAGGTAGTCTGGGAATGTTGGTGAGTAGATGATAGAGGTTAGGGAAAGACTATTGATGTCAGGGCTCAGCTGGGAGGGAAGGGGAGTTCCTACCTACTAAATGGGAATAGTTGGTTATGACATTGTGGTTAAAACCTTTTACACCAAAATCATACTTGGAGACAACAAATACAATGTAAATATGTTTTTATACCAATATATTCTATAACTTGGTTCAATTCTGATTTGAGAAAAGTATTGGTCAAATGGCTAAATTTGTCCAAGTATACACGAATGATTATTCTTTTGCAGTACGATGTATGATGTATGGGTTTGGGGATGACCAGAATCCTTATACTGAGTCGGTGGATATTCTTGAAGACCTTGTTATAGAGTTCATCACTGAAATGGTAAGGTTTTTTTGGNTACTCTATATTTTTAATGGTTTTATAATATTAATTGAGTGGATGTGCTCAAAATTTATTTAAAGCCTTAATATCTAGTTTGCCGTTTGTTAGTCATTAGAAATAATGCTGTGATGAACCTTTGTTTTTGCACAGGATAAATATATAATGGTAGGGGGATTAGATTTGATTTTAAGAAAACCCACCAACATTGAGATGGACACAAATTTTAAGTGAAATGGGTGATTACAAAGAAATTACAAAATTATTTTACACAGTGATGGCAAAAACTACATATGTCAAAAAACAAAAAAAAGAAACAGCAATAAATACGATAGCTTTCATGTCCTTAATATTAAAAAATGTCTCTAAAGGACTAAGAGAAACATTGCTAATCACACAGTAGAAAGTGGACAGAGGACATGAATAAAAGACAATTCACAAATGAATAGCTGGAACAGAAGAGAAAAAGCTTTAAACTCACCAGTAGTAAACATGCAGATTAAAGAAGAATAATGTATACATGCAAATTAAAAGTAAAATATTACATTTTTTAAAAGTTAATTGAATTTAATGTGTTTCTTTGTAATAGACTCACAAGGCAATGTCAATTGGAAGACAAGGGCGGGTACAAGTTGAAGATATCGTCTTCTTGATTCGAAAGGACCCAAGGAAGTTTGCTAGGGTTAAAGACTTNTGAAATGGTAAGGTTTTTTTGGTAATTGGTTTAATTAATTGAGGAATAGATTTGAAATTCTAACTTTTAGATAAGACTATAACTATGGCATCCTTTAGAAATAAGCTATCCATTTGAGTTTCTGTTTTGTGGAAGTTCCTGGTTACTATTTATCATCAAGGATGGAGATTATATATATACATATATGTATATACAGTATGTAAATATTTTTTCTTTAGGTAACCCTGGAACATTTTCCCCATGTCATTGCATAGTACTATATATATATATATATATATATATATAAATATGTCT